TGTCTATATCCAGCAGTAAGCACCAAAAGGGTTAACCATAATAAAAACCTAGCTTGTCTTTTTGCCTTTTCATTGGGAATCACTGAAGTAGAGATTATCACTCTGACCAGTGTAGTTGGGCTCCAATCACTTGAAGGTCTCTTTAAATTCAGGCCAGCATCCCCTTGAGACAGCACTGATGTTTTCTTATAGCTCTTTCAAATTTGTATTAAAAGTGCTATACCTGAAGCCATTGTGATCAACTGATGTTTACCATGTTCCAGCTGAGGGAGCTAGGTTGCACCCCACCTGATCTTGGTAAAGTGAGACAGTTCTGCGCATGGGCTTTTTTTTACCTTCATGGTTTTAACTGCACCACCAGAAAAACTTCATTATTGCCTTCAGCTTCATGTAGCAGTAGATCAGAGGAGCATAAATTCAGCAGGCTAACAGGGACAAAGGGTCATGGGAGTGGACCTTGGCAGATAAGATGATGCACAGAGCCTGGTCAGTACCTGGGTAGGTAATATATCACTGCTGCTGCAGAGAGAGAGGCCACCCTCTGCTGCAGCTGAAATGGAAACCCCTGCAGTAACGGAGGTGGGGTTTCTCAGATGAATGGTGGTGGGGTGAGGTAGATACAGGAGGGGGAGTTGTAGGCACTTGCAAGTGCATGGATGGGGAGGCAGTGCCTCTATTTTTTCCACTCAGGTGAGTCTAATCCCGAAAATTGACTCCTGATCTCAACTAGAGATGCTATAAATTCAGTGTTAATCATCAAACAATTTCGTGTCCTCAATGGATAAGCTTTGATCTCCAGCAGTGTAGGACCTGCTCCTCTTTGGGACAGAAAGGCCAAGTATAAGAAGCCAAACCCCTGAAAGAAACCATTACCCTGGTCTTTCTCCTGGACAAAGCAAACACCTTGCACTTTGTCTTTTCTGTGGGACGTGTGCTCACCCTTCATAAATCTTCAGGGGACAATGTGTGACCCTTTTAGTACCCTAACCTGGAATTCCTAATAAACCCACTTTGGCTTTCAAAACACGGATCCTTTTTTTTCCCTGTGAAGGTGATGACCTTACAGTTCCTGCATTTATGGGTTCTCAGAAATAAAGCTGCTGGGTGCTCTGTCAGCACCACTGTAGGCAAGAAGCTCTGATAGGGTGGTGTTGACATAATCTGTAATCAATCACATCATTTGCGAGTGGCTGCATAGCATTTAGGTCATGGCACCAAAACACTGCCTGAAAAATTTAGCCTTGGGTCTCTCTTGTGTTCCCTCTGCAGCAGTGTCTGCCTGTCTGGCAACCCTGCACCCATTCTCCACAGATCTTCAAGCGAGTGCTGGGTCTGTTTTGCAGGTAGGACTCCAGCAGCTCAGGAGATTGTCTTGGAAGCCTTGAGCAATGATGGTGGGGCTTTTTATCTCATTGAGATATCCATTGGCGTAGAGGCAGGAGCACAGAGGTTGGAGAGCAAAACAAATGCTAGCAGGCAGCCAGGAGGGGAAGGGGTTTCAGGGCAGGGTAAGACACTCCTGAGATAAAATGCACTGAACCTGCAAAGCAATCCTTTAGCTCCAGTGGGACCACAGCACGATGTACTCTGCACCAATACCTTTCTCTAGCAGGTCCTGAGAGCAGAGCTGATTCGAGCTATTGCTGAAAGCTCTGAAAAACTCACCCGAGTGCTGAACTAGAAAATTACCCCTCACAGCCCAAATCAAAAATAGTTTTGTATGTGGGAAAGAGTCTTTAGCAGACCCCAGAGGGGCTGTGGATTTTTCCTTTCCCTCTGTTAACATTGCCCAGTGTGGCAAGTGTTCATGCAAGAGCTGCCCGCATGCATCTTCCTCCCTCCTACTCCCATCAGCACTGCAACTGTGTCCAGCATCGTAGCTTCCCACAATAGCAGCTATAACCAACTTTGTAAATCAGGCTCTGTAATTATGGGACCCAATATGGAATAACAGGATGAATATATTGGTCAGCTGCCACTTTGTGGAAAACACGCAAACACACCAAGGGGCCCCAGTAGGTGCTGAAAATAGTTCATACCAAAATCCTGACCATCCTAACAGGCTGCCTTAGTGGTGATTTGTGCTTCTGCTGCCTCCAAATGTAACTGACAATCGGCTCACTCCTCACTCTCTTCTGTTACCTTCTTGAAGTGCAGTGGCAACTGCAACCACACATCTCTTTGCAAACGAGTTTGGAAGTTAAAACAGCAGGCAAGGCTTCGATTTCCCTCACTATCCTCTACAATGGACCTTGCAAAAGTGTCCTTGTAAAAGGCCCTGGTATCCTGCAGAGCACTGGTGCTGGCGCCTGAGAGCTCAAACTTCGTGCTTTCAGGCTTTTAGTCATTGATAGAGAGAGAGATTACACTGTTTCTGGATGTGCTCTATCTTCTGCAGAGAAGTTATTTGTTGCCATGGATATTGCTTTGTCTTGAGAAACACATAACCAAACTGGATTTAAACAGACCCTTGTGGGTCAATATTTCCATAGGAGTAAATGCACATCTTGAGGCTTCCTAGAGTCATTTTATTTGTCCCTGGTGCAGGAAGCATGAAGCACACAGAGCTTCAGCTGGAGAGGTAATGGATGCCCCTTAACTGTAAGAGAAGATGGAATAAATTTTGTAAGCTATTTTGCCCAAACCCAGAAAGGTGAAGGAACCCCTCTGATCTCAGCAGCCACAAAGCTCAGGTAGAAGTTTCTCTATTGTTTATTCTTGACAATTTGAAACGTCTTTTTCTCGCCAGTCCTAACTTCTTTTTTTTTTTAATAAAAAAAGAAGTGCCTTTCAGTCTGGGGTTTCCAAGACGTGTCGTATTGCAGCTCATAAATGGACTTGTGTGCTGGGCGAACAATAGTCGTTACTGTTTAATGCAGAGATTTGATAAAATTTGCTAATGACTGCTGCAGAAAATGGGCAGATCAAGTGGAGAGAAGTTTTCAGTTTCTACCCAGGAGCAAAACTCCCACTCCCTGGCTTATGAATTTCATTAGGTGGAACTAATTAAAGGGATGTTTCTTATTACCAAGATGAGAAGCAATCCAAGAGGAGTCCAGGGAGGTTTGTATGCTGCAGCACAATTGCTCTGCTTTTAAATGCTGTGAAAGCATTGCGTCCTATTTAATCTGACATTCCCTGTGTTTGTTTCTCTTCGTGACTCATAGCACAACACTGGCAGCAGGCCTAGGAAGTAGGTTATGGGATCTGGCGTGGGGACACTGGTGGATTGTATTCCAAGTGTTGTGCTTACATTGCACCACCAGCCATGAGAGCATCCAGCAAACTGTGTTCATACTGCCTAGCAAGCTGGTGGCTTCAAAAGTCAGATGAACAGCTGCAGCAGTGGAACAAGGCAGGCTTGACTTAGCACTTAATTTGCCACGTCTATTAGACCAGCTTGTTTAATATGAAACAATTTTAGCATGTGAATAAAAAAAGGCTCCGCAAAACATGAGCTGCTTCTCCTCGGTGTCGCATTCTGGTTTTAAGCAGTAGGTTGATCCCTCCCAGCCTCTCACAGCTCCCCGGACAGAATCCAAGTCATCAGGCCTGCACAGAAATGGGGTGATCAAGTAATTGTTGACAGAAATTGCATGAGGGCTCTGATTTCACCCACTGATGGGGAGTAAACATATTAATTTTCATACTGATGAGGACTTGATGGCAGGGGGGAAGGTTATGGCAGCTCTGCCTCAGCTCTTCAGCTCTCGGTCTCTCCAGTATAACTCAAGAGCTCAGATCTTTGCTCCCTCTGGCTTAAGCTAATTAAAAGCTAAGGGCATCATGCTGCTCTTGTGGACTCTGAAGCCAAAAACACTAGCAGTATGTCTTGAGGAAGACTGAATTGCTTATCTAGTGCTCTTAATTTGGTCTTCTGCAGCGTAAAGAACCTGCAGCAAAGCAAATGAAGTGTTTAGGAGGGTCCTTTGGCTTTGCATGTAGATTTCATGACCAATAAGGCCAGCAGGGCATAAATGCAGCTGGATGGTAGGTTGTGTCAAACCTTGCTTCTTTAACCTGACCAACCCCTCTCTGTAGAAGGACCAGGGTCAGGATTTAGGTTGTCTGTTTTCACTGATTTTCTCTGAAAGAAGACAGGTGGTTTCTTGCACTCAGTGACAGAAAATGAGTAATATTTGAGAAAAACACCAGGAGAAGTGATCATTTGCAAGCAGAAGAAATAAAAGCATCATTAAAAGATATGTCTGTAGTGCCTACCATAATCACGTTAGTGGTATATTGTGGCACTTTAAATGGTGTGGGCATTTTGCGACACAGATGCCAAAAAGCTGTGTGCATGCTTGTATGTGTTCTGCTGGATACAGAACTAAGACCTCAACTAAGTTAAATTTCATGTGGTTTTGTAAGTTTATGCGGAATTTGTAGAGTGGTAGGTCAAAGGCAAGACGATACAACATTTGTGCTGGCTTACAAATATCTGAATAACAGCATTGATTTTGAATGATTCAGGAGTGATTTTTTAAAATATTAACCTGAATTCAGCTAAGCAATGAAGCAAAAGAAAAACTGTTCCCTATTGTCTGTTCTTGGACTTGTTTTCTCAAGAAAAGAGTTTCTAAAAAGCATGCTTGGCCTTCAGGATGACCATCCTGAGGCCAGTAGGAGCAGTACAAATCCAGATCTTCTGCTGCTGTGCCGCATTCAGTGCCATGAAGGAACAGGAGTTTCCCTGGGAATCCAAGGCATCATTTATCCATCTTCCCAACTCTGCATCTTGTCATGCTCTGACGTGCTCATGGAAAATGTCAGAGAGCACTTAATTCTCCCTGAACTGAAACGTCTCCTTCTTCACTGCTTTCAAACTGTAGGTATGAAACAGCAGTTATTTACTGTTGGTGAACTCACACCAGCTCTTCTGCCCTCTTCCACAGTTAGAGTCTCCTTTGTTTGCAGTTACAGAGTGGAAGATCTCTGGGGCTACATGAATACAGTGCTGGAATACGCAGGAAAAGTGAAATTAAGCAAGCCATCAACAGATTACTTAGGTTTTCAGTTTTATGGTTATTTTGCAGCTTGGAAACAAAGAAGAAAGCCAGGGCCATGCCATCAGCCAGCTGGAGACACACACGGACACTCGCACACTGTCTCCTTTTGACAAGATTTTTTCCAAAGCTCCTCAACAGCTGTCTGGCTTCCCTTTTGCAGAAGAGGATATGGAAGATGGGAGCCATGGCCGAGGCCGTCGGAAGTGCTTGCTGTTGCAGTAGGCTTTCTGCCCAGGCAATGCTAGAAAACAGGTCTCAGGAATGGCTTCATCTGGTGTCAGGGCAGCTGATCCTTCTTTTCCAGGGGGAAAATGATGGAAAACCCATGTTCTTTGGAGACTTCCTCCAAGTTTGTGTTTTTAAATGTATTACATATTTTGATGGTAAGTGTAGTAAAAGGTCAATCTTCTTGCAACTCCTTGGGTCGTAGAGCAGATTAAGCCCCATAGATGTTGTTACTTTGGTTGTCATATGGTCCAAATCAGTTTAGCACTGGTAAAACACTGCATTATCAGTGAAAAGCAACCTCTGCCTCCAGCCAGGGCTGTCAGCTCTTCAGTGTTCACTCTGACTTTCTCTGCAGTAATACTTTCTTCTCCAAGGCTGTAATTTTCTATGAAGAGAAACATTAGATAAAGGTCTGAATTATCAATTATCCTGATAGAAATCGTGTGGCTTCCCATGGTAGGTTGATGTTATTTTTAGAATAACATTTTACCACACACTGAAATAATAAACACCATACACCGATGACTTCCTGTTCTTCTGCAACTTGTGCACATGAAATCCATGAGTTTATCCAAGTCATTGGAGGAGTAATTCCTCATGAGAGGAATTACTTAACTTCTTTCTTACTCTTCCCTCCTCAAACACTGCTTCTCCCACAGGGAAAGGTGGTGTGTCAGCAGGATGCACATTAAAAATGTAAGTGCACTTTCTCCTTGAAGTTTTAGCACAAGGTCAGAAATATCCAAGTGGAATAACCTTATTGCGGGGTTGACAACTGCAGCCTGTCAAAACATCAACCCAAATCCAGCACGGGGCACTTGACTACAAGTAAGACATCTTGATAATGCTTTTTACTCCCCTGCTGGATAGTGTGTTTTAAAAGTATATCTGAATTATCAGGTAATGCCACATATTTCATCCTCTCCACCTCAGTATTGGGCGGCTACACAGGAGGAGCAAAAATCAGTACTCCTGCTTTCCTGAGCTAGAAGCTCTAGCCATCTGCAGTCCCACTGCTCTGTATTAAATAATGCACATATCCGTATGTGTATGTAATTTCTGCATGAGAACAGGATCTCTAGTAGCTAAGCAGTAAGCTCATAAGAAGCTCTGCCTCACCTGAAGGTATAATCCTTTATTTGTGACATCCCAACTAGTTACCACTGGAAAGCATTATGTTCTCATAACAGGACCAGTGGAACCTAAGGGGCTAGGAGGTGGGGTTTTTTTTCCCACAAGTTAAAATGTCTCCAAGACCATTCATTAAAAAAGAAGGAGGCACTTGGGTAAAGCTTTGCCCACAGGAATTCTCCTGAGTAAGTTTGCTCCTGGTACATCTTGATAATGTTTACCTCTGTCTGACTTGGACCTTATTGCAAAGACAAATGGATCAGCTATATAAATTTTAATGTAAGGAAACATCTGAAATAGCAAAAGGCACCCATGGTTTAATCCTGTAGAAGTAATAGTGATGAATGTTATCTGACATACTTTTACTGGTATAATAAAATGAGTGTCTTTTCGCTAAAACTCAAACCAGCTGAAACAGCAGAGACTGAATTTAGCACTGAAACAGCAGAGACTGAATTTAGCCCATCCCCTGCTGAGCCCTGCCACAAGGCACTGGTTTGCCCAGGGAAGGGGTGAGGTACATCTGGTGGCAGCGAGGTGGTGTGTCTCACATTCAGCTCTTCTGTGTGGTGCTGATCTGCAGACCCAACCCTGCAGGACTCCACTGGTAATTCCTGGTCATCCCGGGGACCCTTGGAGTACCTTTTAGTTGAGGAAAGTGCAGTCTCCTCCAGTGACCTGGCCCACTCAGGTCTTGTATTATAAATACAGGCTTGACCTCATGGCCTGACTCTATCCTCAGATGTCTGTGCCTGCAGTGTTGGAATGTAACGCTATACCTCCCCATAGAAGTAGGATAGGGGGAGACTTCTTGGAAACTTCTAGGACAGGCACCAAAAATAAAAGGCATCTGAGTAACAAGTGGAACCACAAGGACACAGAGCTCCTCTGCTTGCTTTTCTGGTTGGTGCTTTTGTGTTATCTTTTCCTCTTCAGGACTTTTGTGGGATGCTATAAATACATAGGGTATGTGCAATTGTTACTGTGGAAATGAGGGTTCCCATGTCCCTGTTCTTGGGACTGAGCACCAAGGTACTGGTGCTGTGATGGGGGGGCTCTGCTGCTGGGCTGCTCTGGGGTACCTCTTCCAGAGGCTCAGGAAAGGGAAAAGAGAAGGTTGGTGTTTTGAGGTTGGTACTGCACGTGGCACAACTGAAGGCACTATAGAAGGGCTGAGAACATTTCTCCTAATTCAGGGTTATAACATATAGCTATTCTGTCTGTCTTCATCCCTCCCCCACCACGGCTTGCATGGAAATCCCAGCGTGCCCACAGCAGTGAATTGCTGGGACAGAGACTCGGCTTGTTCTAAAACATGCAGTGAAACATCATAATGAATTACCCCAAAATACTCCAGCCTGGGAAGTCTTCTGCCCAGAGACCCTCCTACGCGGCCGCATGAAGAGCACACAGGAATTCTCCTGTGCCTGTTTTACTGGGAATGCTACCTGTAGCTGTGAGCAAAACCACAAGATTAGTGATGAAATGCAACCTCTGCTGCTTTTCATGGCAGGGCGCTGCAGCGTTAGATGGTTTCAATTACAGCGCTGGGACCTGGATGGCCTGTGAGGGCATGCCAGGGATGTGCTTCCCTGCGAACGCCATGGGGCAGCTGGTAAAGCTGATCAGGCCCTTTCTCTCCAAATGCTGAGGCACCAATTCTGTCTGGGGCTGGTGCATGCTTCTGACATGAATTTTGCCACTCCAAGCTGGCTCCAGAGTATTCTCTCTGCTTAGATTCTGGTTACTGAGTCCAGGGAAAAGCAAACCAAGCCAGAAACATGACTCAGCCTTCTGCTTGCAAACTGAACCTGGAAGCTGGTACTACCAAGTGGTGGCTATCCATGGGGTGTTGTGACCTTGTGCAACACTTGTAAAGACCTCTTTCAGCTTGGGAGCAAGGACAGGGAGGTTCTGCTCCATGAATAACTCCTCAGCTCAGTGGAACAGGCCAGCCAGTAAAATAAGGCTAAATGAAAAATTATAGGGTGAATTTGGCCTCATAATCACACACAGATAATTTGTTGCTTGAACAGAGTCAGCTGAACATAAACAAGTCTACAATGCGCCTCATTATTGGAGTTATTTTTCTAGCAAGCCCCATGGAGATATGAAGTGGCTTTGCTCTGCAATTCATGATCTAGTTTGCTATTAAATGCATTCAGTTTAATTGTGGCAATGTGTCTCATTTTGGAAGCTTTCTCAGCCACCATGTAAAAATAGCAGAAGACTGCAGAAACCAATTCCCCGGCACAGATGTTCTCCTCCATTTGCTGCGTGCTGCTGGAGCAGACAGGTGTGCTGGGCGAGCCAAGGCTGCAAAGCAGAGTAACGCTGATGGCACTGAGAGGCAGTCTGGGACAAATGGATTTCCTCTATGGCAGCACCACATGGGGTAGGATGTCACAGGTTTTGACTGCCCGGACAGTCACAATGCCCCGTTTGACCTTCATCTGGCTTTGGCTCTCCATCTGTAGTCACAGCAACATACCCGTCCATCTCTGCACTGTTACAGTGCCTAACGTTAATTGCATCTGACTGTTTTATGCACTAATCCTGTGACCTCCCAAAAATGAAATCATGCTGGGCTGCCATATATCAAACTCACATCAGCCTCTTGTTGACTTTGGCCATATGGTGTCAGAGTGATGAAAAAAGAACATTTCTAACCTCAACATGCTGGGTCTTATGGCAGTAACTTAAATCGTTTTTCCATAATTGGGGGTACAAAGCCTTCTCTTTAAATATACCTTTTATTTTAATCTGCATGCTTTAGATTGGGCAGAATCCTAAGAGTAGGTATAGGCCAAAGCTGATTAGGAGCCTTCTGAGCTTGCCTAGCCCAGCGATGTTTGTTTTCATGATAGAATATGGCCACTGTATCCCCAGCCATAAAAGTCTGTACTTGGTACAGCCAAAATAGACCTGCACAGTATTCGAGTGATTTGGTTTGTCACTCACACTGCATGGACCTGAGCTTTCAGCAATTTGAATAGGAGTAAAAAGAGATCATCCAACATTTTCAAGAAGCTATGGTCTTGGTGCTGGCAGATGGCACGTAGCCAAAAGGGGTTAACAGGAATGTGGGTCTGGGAGAATGCAAATGGCAGTGAAATATTTATCCAGCATCTCTCTTTTACCCTTATGGCGATTGCTAGTGGTGCAAGATTGCTGTGCTGCGAGGAATGTACCTGAAACAGCTTCTGGATGTTAAGAAACCTGTGACAGATGATGAAGTTGTGGCTTTAATCACTGCCTTGAGGAGGACAGGTCTCATTCATGAAAGTGCAGAGATATCTGTGGGAGAAGGTGCCCAGAGGTCTTATCTGTACAAGCCAAACGCACATGTGGTTCAGTGGTGACATGTGAACATGGTGACATTTGGCAGTGGAGAGCTTGGGCATGGTGGGACAGATGAGCAGTCTCTTGACCAAAACCTTCTGATTGTGTTCTCTGTGCACGTGAGCAGCTCATCCTGGAGAGCATCCATGCAATTTCACAGCATATATTTCTCAAGGACATGTCCTGTGATGACACATGTCAGCCAGTGTCATCTGTGCCTGAAAAAACACGTCTTTCAAGAGTAAACACTTGGCAGAAACAACAGCACAAGCTCAAATTTAGACAGGAATAATTGATGCTGTGCAGACCCCAACTTGCTGGAAGGGGGCACGCTCTCTGGAAGGCAGGGGGGGAAACATGTTGTTAATTTTACTAGACAACTTCTGCCTTCCCCTCCTTTTCATTTTGTAGTTGCCAGCCTCCCTGGTTGCTCCTAAAATAGAAACATCTGACGCCTTGTTTAACTTCCTCTGGGGGCCTGCGGGGAGCAGGATGGGATAAATCCCCTCTCTGCAGCGTGTCAGTCAGCCTCTTCCAGCCAGCTCTGCTGGGAATTGCATCTCAGTTTGCCACCTGCCCCCAGTTTCACAACGCCCTCCCCATTCTCCTTTTCCTGCCACAACTCTGTGCCAGGTTGGGAACTTCCCTGCCATGGTACCACTGTCACACATCACTCCGACACCTCTCAGGCACACTGCTGTTGAAGGTGCAGAGCTGGTGACAACAGCCACAAAAAGGGGGTACTTGCCACACAGGCAAGGCACTTACACCAGGCAGCAGCGAGAGAAACTTGAAATGGAGAAGGGGTATTTCAGTGTGGTCAAAGCAGAGCTCTCCTTGCATATCAATGAGCCTGTTATTGTTGCCTGCTTGCTCAGAGTTAATCTCCTGTGATATTAGCTTCAAGGAGGATGGCTCAGTGACGTTGCCATGCTACTGAACACGCTGAGCTATCTGCGCTTCTGAAGAGTTCGAACCATTCCCAGCGCTCATGCAGCCATTACAATGATGTAACGATTGGGCTTGTTATTCCTCCTTCCCATGGGGGACCTCCTTTCCCCTTATTACAGATGAGAAACCTGGCTTTATCTTTGTTTTTCTGAAGGAAATACATACAGAAACCTTGCAGGAGGCTCCATGAGACATCCTCATGGAGTGGGAGTTTTGGCTTCTTCCTCTGGGGAAGATGACCCTCAGAGGCATGGAGCCTTCAGTGAAGTGCTTGAGTGCTCTTTATGAGCCCAAAGCAGTAGTACATCATCCCTGGAGGAGACATGCATACAGCTGAGCATAGTGGAGGAGCTCCAGCCCATGGGACTGTAGGTAGGTACGTGCCCACCTCCCCTGTAGTCATGTTGCATTTGCCTCTGCCGCATCCCGTTTGTCCCAGGGACAACCATGGGACAGTTCTGCAAGGAGGATGCTCTGTAGGCGGTCTGGGGGCTGCTTTTCTTTGGAAGAGGTTGTAATGCAGCCATGAAGTCATTGGGCTAAATTCCATCCAAGCCACGTCCTATGTAATTTTCTTGTTCTTGTTAGCCTGCC